AAATGTATGAATAGATCTATGCATGAACTCGTCGTTGTTTTTAATGCCAAACCCCTGCATCTTGAATACATGATCCGCACGCGGAGCATGTATGAAAAACGGCACTGTTCCCACAAGGCCCCGAAAGACCAACATCATTTACGTTCCATGAGTTTTGCCATGTGTATTGAGTTCTCCACTCTTCGAGCTTCCGACGCTCCGAGACGCCTCGAGAGGCTCCCAGGATCGCCCCAAGACGGCCCAGGAGGGTCCGAAAAACGGCCCAAGGAGGCCCCAGGATGGCCCAAGAGGCACCCAGAACGGTCCAACTACATAGTCCCAAGGGGAGCCATTGGAGGGGAAAAGCATTCCGCCCCGAGAGGCGCCCAGCAGGCCCCAGGAGGCCCCCAAGAGGCCCCCGAGAGCCCCACACGCCCACACGAGACCCCTAAGAGCCCCAAAACTGCCTCCCAGAGGCCCCAAAACTGCATCCAGGAGGCCCCTGAGATGCCTCGACGAGATCCCAACGAACATCCAAATGGCCTCAGACCCACAGCCCAGGCAGTTGTATATAGATGTGTATATATATACACTAGAACCATCGCGCGCGCTTCGCGCGCGCTCAATTTCTAGCTAGGATAATCGTCATCGTCATTATCGCCATCCTCATCACCATCATATCCGGCGTCATCGTCAGCGGCATCGTCATCATCACCATGACCATCACCATCACAATCGTCACCATCACCACCATCAGCAGCAACATCGTCATCACCATCGTCATCATCGCCAACGTCGTCATCATCGTCAGTATCGTCACCTGACTTATCAACATAAACATCCTCAGCATCACCATCGTCATCATGATCGTCGTGGTCGTCGTGATCGTCGTCATCGTTATCGTCATCATCATCGTCATCATCTTCATCATCCGCCCACTCCTGCATCACAAGCACCATAAACAGCATAACCACCATTATTATCAGCATGGGCGTTATCATCCTGACCATCACCAGCATCATCATAGTGATCATCAACATCACCATCCTCAACGGCATCACCGTCATCGTCATCATGATCGTCAGCATCACCACCATCATCATCACCGTCACCCACATCACGATCACCATCATCATCATTCCCACTGTCAACATCATCATCATCATCATCATCATCATCTTCTTCCTCTACCTCCTCCTCCTCCTCCTCATCATCATCATCATCATCATCATCATCATCATCATCGTCGTCGTCAACTTCATAATAGTCGTCATCATCGTCGTCATCTTCGTCACCGTCGTCTCCGAAGCTCCCCCGCCGAACTCGGGAGCTGTCTGGGGGACTTGGGTTGTGCGCCTGAGGCCAGCATGCCTGGGTGATGGGCCAGTGTCCTGCTGGATGCCTGTTGGGATGTGTGAAGTCTTTCGGGGGCATCCTGTAAAGCTCTTTGGGTACTTCGTGGCTGCCTCTTGGGGCCTGGTGAAGTCTCTTGAGAGCCTTGCGTGGCCCTTTCGGCGCCTTTTGGAGGCCTCTTGGAGCTTCCTGGGGGCCTCTCGAGGCCTCTTGCGAACTCCTGGGGGCCTCTTGGGAGCTTCTGGTGGGCGAGGGCTCGAAATGTCAGTTCGTGTTCCCCATCTGGGGCTCCTCTTGGAGTGTTCTGGGAGCTCTTTTGGGCCGTCTTGAAGCTTCCTGGGCCATCTTGGGGCCCTCTTGGGCTGTCTCGGTGGTCTCTTGGGGGCCTCTTGGCTCGTCTTGAGGCGATCTTTCGGGCCTCTTGGGCCGTCTTGGAGCGTCTGGAAGCCGAACTGGGGAGAACGCCAAAACCCTTCAAAAACCTACTAAAAATCGATGACAATTCCCTCTTGGGCTCCTCCCGGGAGTGCTGTCGGAGACCTGCTGGGACGCATTGGCAGCTTTTTAACCGTCTTGGAGTGCTCCCGGGCCGCTTCGGACCTCCCTCCTGAGGGCGTCCTGGAGCCATTTTAGATGGTCCTGGGAGCCTCCTGGCGTCTCCGGCGGGGGGGTGACCACAGCCACTGGGCAAAGTGAGGCCCCCCCTGGTCCAGGACCCCCTCCCCATTTCTACATATATATATATATATATGTATATATATATATGTATTAAAGTATGTGTATAGATGTATGTGTGTGTGCCCATACGTACACGCACACAACATGCATACATACAGACAGACAGACCGACAGGCAGACAGACCGACAGACATACATACATATATAAATGCAGGCATGCACGCATGCATCTGTACATACATCCATATACACACCTGAATACAGACATACATACAGGCATACATACACGCCTAAATGCATGCACGTATGCACACATACACACATGCATACATGCATACATGCATACATGCATACATGCATACATACATACATACATACATACATACATACATACATATATACATACATACATACATACATGCATACAGTCATAGAGACATCCACACATTCATGTATGCATACGCATATGTATACACTCAGTCATGCATTCATTCATTCATTCATACATACATACATACAATAATGCATGCATACATGCATACATACATGCATGCGTGCATACATGCACATGCATGCATGCATGCATACATACATCCATACACACATACAGGCATTCATACATACACCTACACATATAAACAAACAACCGTGCATGCATACCTACAGAATTGCGTACATGCATGCTTGTATGTATTACATACATGCATGCATACATGCATGCGAGCCCACGCATGCATGCAGACAGGCAGACAGACAGACAGATAGACAGACAGGTAGACGTGAAAATGTGCATTCGCACCTACATACATGCATACCGACACGCATGTATGCATACATGAATGCATACATGCATACATGCACACACGCATACCTGCATAATGCACACGCATACGTGCATGCATGCATACACACATGCAGGCATGCATACACATGGATGCTTACTTACCCATAAGTACACCAAACTGCAAACATATACACACGGCTGTAACTATACGCATAAGCATGTACAATAGCACCACGCGCGCTGTTCGCGCGAGCTTAGGTTCCAGCACAAGCCAAACCAACCCCACCGGATCGGATGAAGATGGACATCGTCCCAAGATGATCGCCATATGGGAGCGTACTTCCTGATGGATGCTTCAGGCGCCTGCGAATGACTAAACAAAAGGGCAGGCTCCAAGAGATCCCGCTGCACTGAGCACATACACCGAGCAGTTACCCAAAGAAGCTTCTGGGAGGCTTCGGGAGGCTCGCGGCCTGTGGACCGTCTTCGGCGGCCTTGAACATCCCCTGGACTTCTCGAGAGCCCCTCGGCTCATCTCGGAGGTGCCTTCGGAGGTCCCCTGGTAACCCTGGAGCCAGTTTGGGGCAATTCAGATCATCTACGGGCGTCCAGAGTAAGTCGAAGCCGTCTTGGGCACGGCCTGGGGGATCCTTTAGGCAGTATGGGGCCTTTTCTCCTGGGAAACGCTCAGATGTTGCGCTGCACACGTTGCCGGACAGATGGCGCGGCTCACCCGTCTCGTGGAGGCGGCGTGCACCACGACCTCGCGCCAAGGGTGCGTGCAGGGCGAATCCCCCAGCTGTTGCTGCGCAAGCGCCCAGGAAGGCTCCAGGAGGGCACGCAAGGCAGCCACGAGGAGGGCCCGGGGTGGCCCGAGGGGGGGGCGCCCGAGAGCCCCCCAAAGAGCCTGGCAAAGCCATGCCGAGGGCCTTCCAGGATGCCTTTTGGGGGCGCTCCTGGAAGACTCTCGGGTGGTTCTGGGGGGGAGGGCCCCTTGGTCGCCTCGTGGGGCTTATCGGGGGCCTCCTGGTGGCCCCTTGGGACTTCCTAGGGACGCCTCGGGGGCCTCTCTCTGGCTGTTGGCATCTTTCGGGGCGGAAGGTTTAAAATCTCCGTTCGGAACCCCGCTCTTGCCCCTCTCTCGGGGCCGTATTGGGAGCCTCTTTGGCCGCCTGGGGGGCCCCAAGGCCGTCTTGGTGCTCTCCTGGGTCGCATTGGGGCCGTCAAGGGGGCCTCTTGGGCTCTCGTGGTGCTTGGGGACATGTGGGGCCTTCTTGGAGCACTGGGGAGCCGAAGAACGACAACGCTAACGCATGTCAAAGGGGCATCCTGGGACCCTCTTGGGTGTCCTCTTGGTGCCCTTTTGGAGCGTGTTGGAACCCTCTTGGGCCCACTCAAAAGCGACACTGGGCTTCTTCGAGCTTTCTTGGGCCGTCTCGCGGCTCTCCCGGCGCGCCTTCGGGGCCTCTCGGGCCTCTCGCGGCCGTCTCGGGGCCCTCTCCCGGCGCCCCCCAGGGGGGGCACCTCGGTGGAGCCGTTGCCCCAAGATCTCACATATATGTGTGTATATCCATTATACACACATATTCATATACAGTATGCCTATGTCCACATGCATGCATATTAGGTGTATCTCCAGTATACCCATTTGTATAGCCATACATATATATATATGGATAGATCACATATATATGTATATCTCACATATATGTGTATATATACATACATATGAATGTGTTAACCAGCGTGGACCCCAAACAGAAAGCTATTGCACGCTCCTTGTGCGAAGCATGTGTTGCAGGCTGTGTCAAGCGGTGTTTGGTGCGACACACATGCTGCAAGCTGCGTGGTGAACGCTGCGTGGTGCAAGCTATGCGGTGCCATCGCTGTGGTGCAAGCTATGTGGGGCGAGCTGCATGGTGCAAGCTATGCAGTGCAAGCTATGTGAGGCATGCTGGGTAGTGTGCAACCTATGTGGTGCAACGTGTGTGGTGCAAACTACATCATGCAATCAATGTGGAGCAAGCCGTGTGGCATAGCAAACCATGCGCGCCCACGCGCGGCCACCAGCCCGGGCACCAGGCGAAACCCCACTGGACCCATCTGGCTACAGATCAGGTAATCGATACACGAGCCCTCGAGTGAAAGCACCGCTGGGGGCACGAGAGACGCGGGGGCAGCGCGGGGCGCAAAGGGCGAGTCCGTCAGTTCGCTGCCCGCCCCCCGCTCACCACTGCTGCCCCGTCGCCGCGGCCTGGCCCGCCGGGGCGCTCCAGTCGTCCTGGGCGCCACCGCCGCCGCCGCCCTCCCAGTTGCCCTGCGCGCCAGAGGTCATGTCGTCCCAGTTCCCGCCCCCAGCCTGTCATTTTAGACGAGCGCGTTCCACTACTCGCAAAGCAACTACTCGCAAATGGCCTGGATCCGCCGCGAGGATGTTGTTTTTTTTTTCTGACGTTTGCGAGTAGGCACTTTGCGAGTAGTGCAGCGCGCTTGGTGACATTTGGACGCCCGAATTGGGCACGAGGAAAAAATGGGTACGAGGCCCAACCCAAAATGTTGTCGAAAACCGACAGCGGCCGCTGGTGAGAAGGCGGATTTCTCCCAAACGGGCAAAGACCCCGGCGACGCCCACAGCGAACTCTGTCCAGAAAGAGCAAGAACTGCTGTCGAACTATGTACCCGTTGTTTCCGTACATATTTCGATCGTCCCGATGTCAGCTGCACGCTGGAGTCGGGGATCTACCGACCCGGGTCGACACAAACCTGGGTCAGTCAGGCTTTGCAGGATCCTGCAAAATCCTGCAGGATCCTGCACGCAAGCCCGAGACCATGCACCCCTGGCTGGCTCTGCAGGATCCTGCAAGATCTGGCGCCCTTGCTGACCCCTGCTTGCATTGACCTCCGTCCCTTGAACCCCGATGGAGTGACCCTGGTCGGGCGGGTGCTAAAGGGAGGTGGCCCAACTTGGGGGTGACGAAAGGGGCCCCTCTAGGGCCCTTCTCTTCACACCCGATTTGGGTCACCCCCCATTCGGCGGCGAGCGAGGGGGGGAAACGAGAAGGAGAAAGCCTTCCCAGAAGGCGGTGGGTCTTCTCGGAAGCCCTCGCGCCTTCTGAGACGCTTTGGCTTGTCCTCGGGGAGGGCTTCGAAAGCTCCTCAGAATGCCGAGGGACTTCCGAACCTTCTGAGCAGGCCTTCTCCTTCTCGCTTCCCCCCCCCTCCCCTCGCCGCCGACCCATTGTGCCACCCGCCCGATGCCCTGGGCAAGATGAGTATCGTTTAACCGATCCCCATCCCGGGCGGCGTGGCCTGGGCCACGCTGGCCGACTTGCCCCGCAAGACGGGGATATATAAGTAGGTCGTTCCCTTCGGGCTTCGAGGGGTACATCCCCAGCTGGGGTGGTAATTTGGTGGGGGCCTCCAAGGGGATGGGGAGGAGGAGGAGGAGGAGGAGGAGGAGGAGGAGGAGGAGGAGGAGGAGGAGGAGGAGGAGGAGGAGGAGGAGGAGGAGGGAGGAGGGGACGAGGAGGAGGAGGAGCAGGAGGAGGAAGGAGGGAAGAGGAGGAGGAGGAGGAGGAGGAGGAGGAGGAGCCAGTACCGATGGAGTTGAACCCCCGGGCACGGCTGCCGACCGCGCGCGCGGGTGCGGCAGGCAGGGGGGCCCCACCCTCCACACCCCGCGCCCGGCCCCGCCGCACCGAGGCCCGGCCGGAGGCCAGCGGCACCGAAGGATTGGGGGGGGGTAGGGGGGCCCACAGCGAGGGATGGGGAGGGGAGGAGAAGGAGGAGGAGAGGAGGGGGAGAGGAGGAGGCGGAGGAGGAGGAGGTAGGCGGAGGAGGAGGAGGAGGGGATAGGAGGGGGGGAGGAGGAGGAGGAGGGGAGGAGGGAGGAGAGGAGGAAGGAGGGAGGAGGAGAGGAGAGGGAAGGCTGAGGAGGAGGATGAGGGGAGGAGGAGGTATGGGATGAGGAGGAGGGAGGAGGAGGAGGAGGAGGAGGAGGAGGAGGAGGAGGAGGGATGGGGGGGGGAGGAAGATTCTCCATATGGCTGCGGCTCCCTCCAAGGGCCCCCCGAGGGGGGCCCCCGAGAGGCCTCCTCATATGGCTCCGGACGGCCCCCCACTCCCAGCACTGCCCTGCGAGAGCCGCCTGGGGTGCTCTATAGGGGGCCACGTGCGAACCCTACCCCTACCCCCCACGATTTCATGATGGGGAGGGTCGGTTCACTTCGGGAAGTTGTTTTTTCCTTCCGGGAGGGCCGTTTTAGCAGCCACGGTTTTGGCAGCCCTCGCCCAGCTTCTGATGTTCGTCTTCCTGCGCTCCGTCTTCGTGCTTCTTCCTCTGCTGCAAGACGAAGTCAGAGCGAAGACGGTCCACGGAATCGCCCAAACGCCGTTTAGCTCGAGCCCGGGGACGTCGAACGTAGAGGTGGGCATGGGGCATAGGAGGGGATGGGAGGGGCACCAATAGGGGGGGGCTGGCATACAGTCAACTCGTATCATAAGGATGCACGATAAGGATGGAAGGGCCTTGGAAGGCCACTTCGACCTTTTCGAGCGGGACGCCGCCAACGAAAGTGGCCGAGGATGGGCCGAGGAGGCAAGGATGCAAGGGTGCCCTTGGGAAGGTTGCCCATCCTCACACTGCGGGTCGACTGTAGGGACCGGGGCGGGGTTGGGAGGGGCAACGATAGGGGGGGGGCACTTGC